TTTTCCCTTTTAGTTCTTGATTTTCCACAAAAAAAAAAAAAAAAAAAAATAGGTCCTGCATGCAACTGTGTTACTTTTATATGCCACTTAAAATTTGAGGGCACAAAGGCCTATTTTTTTCTAATTTAAGCAATCTCAATTTTTTTTGGCATTTAATCTAATTTTTAATTTTTTATTATTTTATTTGATTTGATTTTATGTATTTTTACATCCTTTTTCATTTTTGCACAATCTATGTGTTTTCATCATGATTATATTCCCCATACAATTCCCACCCCCTTATTTTGACTCTAATCCTCCTACCCTCCCTCCCTGCCCCCGCATAGTCCACTCAGGTGCCTGTGATCAGCCAGAGGTCAGCTAGAAGATGATCTAGGTAGTCTTACCTAGATCATAGTGTGTCTCTGGTTTATTGTTGCTTGTTGATTTTGATTTTTAGCGAAATAAGCCAGAAAGAAAAAGAAAAATACCAGATGGTCTCACTCATAGCAGGAATTTAGAAAACCTAAATAAGGGACCAGGAAAAAGACTAATCTCAATTATTTTTAATTAAAGATGGTGCTGGTGTTCCGCTCTTTAAAGTTTTATGGTCTCTCTATGTATCATATGTCAACTCTGTGCTTCAAAAACTGCGTTTATATTCCTTTTTGTAGCATGCTTTCTTTATATTTGACCCTGTCAAGAGATCACAGTACAATACCCTTATTCTTAGAAGCCTTTTTTTTTTCCTGGTTAAGTTCTATCAAACATTACCTGAAATATTTCAGAGATGTTAACAAATGGATTTATAATCACCCTTGATTTAATCTTTTGGTGCTGGGCTTCATTTCACTTTAAGGATCTTTACTTAGTTGAGGTTAGAGATGAGAAAAGCTTTTTCCCCAGCCAGCAAGGTCTGATCTCTTTCTATCCCTCTAAATTCTGATTACAAACTAAACAACTACTTTAGTTTAACTTCTTGTACTTTAGCATTAGCAACAAAAATAATCTACTGATACTTTTAAAATTCTGCTTTAGCCAAATACTAAACTTTACTGGATACATTTTCTGCCTTGCAAATCATCATGGATATCACATTTTCTGTCTATTACAAGGGACTATTCTTAACAGCTTTCTCACACATTTCTAGTTTCCACTGGCACTGTGTTTCCAGTCTTTGCTGTATTACCTCACTGCACTTTCAGTCTCCTTCACTCACATAATTAAAGAAAAAGTCAATGCCATATCTTTTAGCTTTTATATGGCATACTTTATATCTAATACCCATATCTACATCATTTAAAGTTACTGTGCAACAACCACCCACCCCCCAAACTTAGTGGTATTTAAAAAAAAACCAGTGACTGTATAGTTTAATATTCTGTGAGTCTGCTGGGCAATCTGGGCTAGATCAGCCTGGCAGACCTATACTGGGCTTTCATCTGCATTGCAGATTGTCAGCTACTTGAAGGTAGAAACTAATATTCTCTATCAAACATACAACAAGCTCATTGCATGTTTATTAAATGAAGAAATAAAAGAAAATTTATATTCTAAGGTAGAAAATTTGAACAGAAGGGTGTTTATTATGTCCCTAAATAGCATAGTGTACATGGGTTCAAAATTCAAATGCCTATAGGGGACTAGTATGTAGGTAATACAAGTGACCCAAGGTAGGTATAAAATAAAACAAATTTGTAAAGAGAGTTCATAGATCACTATTTTGTACCAATCAATAAACCTTAAATTGCTAAGATTAGCTCAAGTTTCAAATATTAAGCCCTTCGCCTGAAGATCTTGTAACGCATCATAAAGATTTTGGCTATTGGAATTTTACAAGAGACTAATTTAAGAGAAACTTTTTCTGGGAACAGGGAATTATAAAACCAACATCAATAACAGCAAATATAAGATTATTAATGTTGCAGTTACTGCATGAATAGTCTCTCATTTAATCTTTACAGCTACCTTATGAAATAAATGTTGGTTTATCTAATTTTACAAATGAAGAAATGCAGAGTTAAATAATGTTTTCAAAATTTTATTCTCTGGACTGGGATTTGAAATCAGGTTCATCCTGTACAGAAACTAACCTCTTAAAAAATATAGCTGAATAATCTGACATCTCAAGACATAGTAAACACCTCTCTTATGTTCCTTTTCTGAGTCTTCAGAGGCACTAGGTACCTTTTAGATAGAGTAACTCAGATATTTTATAATTCTCATAAGTCTGATAATAAGAAGGGAATGATGGTCTGTTTTCTAGATGGATTTTAAACATGTTTTGGATTATATGAAATGCTTTAATAATATGAATGTGTGAATAAATATCAAGGAATAATTTTCTACTGCGCAATTTAATTCAGGTTTTGAAAATAATTTAGTATTATAAAAATTAATAGTTTAGAAGACAAAGAAAAAACATTTTGAGGATCAGATTCTTCTACTATTTTTCTGAGAAATTAGCATTCAACCTGTCAATTGCCCTCTTTTCTGAGGTGTGATAAAAATATTACTTTCATGGAAGTCTACAAATGATTTCCTTCTTCATCTAAGGTACTTTTAATACATCTAAGGTACTTCATAAGAGAAAACCTACCAATGAGAAGTGCAGCTATTCTATTGGAAATTTAATAAAAGGATGAGTAAAAATAAGGATAAACTCTGTTAGGCAGAGAAAGCCAGATTCCTGGAACTCAAGCTCAACAATACAGAATCCATTCTGGGTAAGGTAGACTATTCATTGCCTTGGCCAGAAACATCACCCAAAAAAAATCATCACTGCTATGAAGAAAATATAAGCCTGACAGAGAATTTTCCAAAGGCTTATGCCAAGGTCTATAATGTTGCTATTATTTTCTGTATAAATATATGTTCTGTAAAATGGACCTAAGGTGATTTGATACAAAGACTTGATTTCTTAGCAATATCCAATAAAGAACAGCTGTGGCACAAACCTTCACAGAGCATCTAATCATGAGGTACATTTTACTTGCAATACTAGCTCTAAGTAGAAGTGTCAAGTTATAAGTTTTGAGAATTTTATAGACTGGTTTTAATAGATTCAATATAGCCGAGGGATATAAGTTGGTATGGGTACAACCTTATGGAATTTTCCATTGAACCTAACTGTGGATAATCCTTGAAACTACATATTATAATTCATGTGTATGTATAAAATTTTGACAGAGAAAGTGAGAGCACCTGGCTAAGGATTCATTTACTCATTCATTCAAGGAATATTTATTGAGTGACTATTATGTGCCACACCTCATTTTAAGCCCTAGAGAGAAACAAGACCAATGCAAGACCAATGCATTGTGCCTGTAGAGGTTATATTCTGTTGGAAGTAGTCAGATAATATACAACTGAAGCAATAAATGAATAAAATAATTTCTGACAGTGATGAGATACATGAACATATGAAAAAGAATTTAGTGTTAAGCAACTGGTCAATTATTGGTAACTAATTTTTGGAAGAGTCAACTGTATTGAAAGCTGTGTTGAGATCTGAATGTCAAGAAAGAGCCAAGTAGCCCAAGATCTGGCTGCACAATTATGCTTACTTCCTTTTGATCCTCTTTTGGTTTTTAATCCACCTCTGTTTGGGTTGGCCTTTAAAAATTTTTTTCCCCATATAATCATGTATAACTTTCTGAATCTTAAAACCTCCAACACATGAATTAGTCCTCCTTCCTAACTGCTCCTCTTAATAGTTAGGTGTACCTCCCACCCCAGCCCCAACCCCAACACAGCACCTTATCGAGAGAATCAGGTTACAGCATCAAGGGCCCCTATAATCTTCCTAATGTATGTGCCTTAGAATGTTATTACTTTATTATAAGTTGATAATGTTTAAATTTATCCTTCCAAGATTATGATATTTTGCTTTAGTGCTAAACCAAGCTTATAGTAAATATAAAGTTGCAGAAAATATAGCACATTTTCTGTAAAAGGTTGTGGAATGACAGATTGACTTGTATAACTAGACGATTACTTCAATTTTTCAGATTGAAATGTTGATGCTATTTTACCCAAGGGGAACCAGATGGATTGTAAATCCATTGTTTTACTTCATTAAATAGTCTGCATATGGCACAAAGAATTTTTAATCAAATGTAAAATCAAAGCTAGATAGAAAAAAGTGAGAACAGCATAATTTTATTAATGGATTCAGTTTAAGTATTCATAGTTATGCTATATATTTCACAATTGTGCAGTAGGGGTGTTTGCCAAAAAGCCTAATACTGTGTCTTCTTACGCGAGTAAATAGAATTATAGCTCAGATTTGCATCTTAAAATATTACCCTGGTATATCCAGCTATGCCAGTCATTAACATGGTTGAAAGTTCTGCTTGAATAGTTATTAGAGAAATCATTAAATCATGAAAATTTAAAAGAAGTTCCCAAATGCCCAGAACTCATCATGTTAAGTCTAATGAATAGAAGATATTTTCATTAATCATTTATATGCTTTTCTATGACTAAGGAAGCAGTAGACTGAGATATTGAAACATATTTCCTATTCCTAGTTTCTGTAATTTTGTAACTGATATTTTCTGTAGCTTTAATTTTGGTACTTTAAGTTCCCATGCTTTTATATTCCAGGTCTCTGAGCTTTATCCTAATAATTGGACTTTTAAATTTTTTTGTAATTAAGTATAAGGATGGATATTGTGATCATTTTGCAAAATGTATAAATATCGAATCATTTCATTATACAGCTGAGCTCATAAATGTCATATGTCAATAGTACCTCAGTGTCATTTTTCAGTGATTAAAACATTCTTGGTCTTATGCCAGGGTTAAAGTAAGATGAGAGTGCATCTTGTCCTAGGGTCTGGATTGACCCACCAGACTTCTCCAGCCTTATTTTACAAAGCTTTTCCTTACACTGTATGGAAAGGTGAAAATGGAATTTCCCAGATTTCCTTAAAGCTAGGTTCTTGGATGTAATATTGGTTCTGCTAAGCAGGTAAACTCTGAGGAAAGACTTATTTCCTGGGGTATCCATTCTACAGGTGCAGATTAACCTGAGGAGCATGAATCTGAAGTCAAGCTTTCCTGCAGGTTCTTCCTAACCTCCATGTCACCTCTAAGCAATGATCTCCTGGAGACAACGACGTATAATGGTAGAAGCTTCCGGATTGGATGATGTTATGTGCTACACCAGGTAGTGGCTGGTTTAATAATTTTCTGACTCCTCAGCTTCCTTACAGAGGAAGATATAACAACTCTCTTAGCATGTTAATCTTGCAGTTTATTCTGGGAAGATTTCTTAGGGGACTGAGGTTAGAGCTTCCTTCTCTTGTCCTTCTAGTAATTTTATAAGCACCTAAAAAACTATCAAATATATTTCTGCTCTGAGTCCAAATATGACTAAGTTTTCAATCTGCTAAAATGAAAGTTCCTTTGAGGGTGGTTGCTTCAAATTAAAATCATTGTTCCTGAACTTTTAAAAAGATGAGAGTCAAGAGTATATTCTAAAGCTGATAGATGTTTATGACTTTAAGGGTAGAAGTTTTTATTTTTATCAAAATCTTTATTTTTTTAAATGCTTCATAAACCTCGTGGTGAAGTTCCTGCTCAACATACTCAACTTGGCCCCTAATTTTAGTGAGATGGATCACATAAAAGTACTCCAGACTTACTGAGAGGTCAAAAAATTCTACTTGAAAAAGGTTGTTACAGTACAAAGAGGGAATCCTCAGTTCTACTCTTAAATCAAGTAAACCTTATTCTTCCCAAAGGGAAATACATCATTATTTGAAAATGGACATTATAGACACTGACTGAACCTTCTTTACAACTATTTTGGCTACTGGCAGAGGTAAGTACACCCATGTGCATGTGATACTGTCAGGATAAGTGAACAGAGTCTTATTTATTCAGAGCAGATTCAACCATCTCACTTTACTCCTTATTTATTTCCTTCCTTCTATGAAATGTCATTTCTTCTAACTCAGAGAAAAACTCAGGGTAAGTTTTCAGTTGGACTCAGACAAAATGTGGAGGCTCTGTTGAGATCTCAAATCTAAGCTGAGCTGATTTTCTCAACTGAGCATTAGCAAAATACTACATTAAATGATACTGGGCACTTGACAAGTTACTGAAAAAGCCGTACCTCTTCTGCTGATTGAATCTGGAGCATTCTGTGGGACTTCTTGGACCACAGACAAGGAAATAGTCAGGTATTCTTGAGTACTTGGTGGACATATAATCAAAAATTTTACTGTGAGTGCTAGGCTAAGGAGTGGTGAGTAATTTTTTTATTCATTATTCTTCTGGTAATCCAGTAGTTTTACAGAGATCTGGCAACTCAAGTCTTATACTATAAAGTGGAAAGAAATATTCTTGCAGTGTCCAAGACAAATATTCACACTTAACAAGATCATATTTGCATTGAGTCCTTGACCTACTTGAGCAAAGATAGTTTTATAACCATCAGATATTCTGTTTAAACCACAAGGTAGTGAAAGCAAGTACAAAAATAACTAGGATTCTATTACTTCTAGAAAAAGAAAATAATGTGCCATGGAGTTCTTATAATTTCACCTGCCATTCTATCTATAAATAGATACCAAGTTTCCAGTTTAAGTTGATACATCAAGCAAAAAACAAGACCTCCCACTCCTTAGCAATAGTACATTCCTGATTAGCCAACTATATCATATCAATAGTAAAAAAATGCTAAAAATTTTAAAACAGGTATAAATTTAAGATCCAGGGTCAGATATAGCATTCATTAACTGTTAAAGATGTTACTTAATAAACAGATGGAAGATGGAAGGATGGATGGATGGGTGGAAGGAAGGATGGATGTGGAATAGAGAGGTAAATGGATAGATATTGATAGATGCTAAGTGAAAGTAAACTGTAAGCCTAACATTGCCATTATGACTCCCTCAATGCCCTACAGAACTGATAGCAAATCAGGAGGTCCAGAATTTTGAGATAGATCTAAGTAAGAAAGCAAGACTAATGAAAATCAGGTTTAAACTTTCTAGATGGTAGAATTCTCCACTCACTGTAGACTCACTAACAATCTGCCAAAAATATGGGTATGTCATACTGGTTGACTCATACAGATCCCAACTCACCTCTAACAACTTAAAGGCAAGGATCAGTTTTTCTACTTCTGCCCAATACAAAGCTTGGCCACAGTAAAATTTCACAGAAAGTGTGTGGAATGATTTAACTATTTGTCAGTTTGATATCCATCTAAGTTGATGACATTGAGAGCTCTAGCCAAGAGTTTCTCACACTGTGAATATGATTGCCTATAATTTTGTTAAAATTCAGATTCTGATTCAGGAGCTCTAGGGTGGAGTCTAGGAGTCTGCACTTCTAATAAACTGCCCAGCTATTTAAATATGGCTGTTACTCTGGCTATACTTCCAGAAGCAAGAATCCAACTCACTCCTAAGTATCTTATTTCTGTGAAATGCACATGTGGTTAAAGCCATGAATTGGAGCCAGAAAGACATAAGCTCAAATTCTACTTCTATATATATCAGTTGAGTAAATGCAGCAAAATTCTTAATCTCTCCATGCCTTAATTTCTTTATATATAAAAGTTTGATAATAGTATTATTTGAAATAATATATTATTTATATATAGTATATAGATATGTAATACATGAAAATATTTAGCAGAATAGCTAGCAGATGGCAAACAATAAATGGTAGTTATTATTCTCATGACTTTCCCCCCAGATATTATATGTTCAAAAAAAAAAAAAAAACTATTGAGCAATTGAGGTTAAACCTTAATCCTAATCTTGCCAGGTTTGACTCTTTCAAACCCCTGAAGAAATTGGTAGCGAATTCAGGAGGCCCAAGTTTGTGAGATAGTTCTGAGTAAGGAAGCAAGACTAATGAAAAACAGAGACAGACACCAGACAGTAATATGGGGCTAGTTACTGAAAAAATAAGAGTTTTTAAGTGAGCTAAAGAAGAATAAATGGGCTAAAGAACATATAAAGAACCTATCTATTTAATGGAGGGAATGGAAACCATACCCAAAATACAAAAACAATATTCAAAATGCCGTTTGAAAGGCCAGATAGTCCACAAGAAATAGCTTGAGACAGGGATTCACAGGAAGTAGTTTTGTAAGGTGGTGTTCTGGAATGGGAGGGAAAGGGACCCTGAGGAGTATATGCTAAGCCTAAGGAAAGATAAAGTCAAGCAAAGGGTGAGTTGGTGCTCAGGCCAGGTGTCTAGAGGGAGACTGGACTGGACCGTCAGAGAATCCTTGGTATGTCAGTTTGCCTCAGAGTTTTCCTGATTTGAGGAGTGTGAATTGGAATTGTATTCATTGGTTCAGACTACCCAAGAAAGGTAGGGGAGGCATAAATTTAAATCTCCACACATTTCTAACTCTTCACAAGTGCTGGCAAAGCAGGCTCTGATGACTGAAAACAATCTTCTAATAAAGAGTTTTGGTCTTAGAGGTTTTAAAAGGCAAACCATAGAGAAAGAAGGGAAGGAACACAAAAATGATAGATGCCGGATGACAACATATCAGATTACAAGGGAAGCTTTATTGTTTACACCTTCCCAGGACAGTGCTGTTAATGAAAGTAGTTATTTATCTCTATGATTTCTTTCAGTGTCTACAGCTTCTTAATTTGGGACATTTCCTGTAAGACAGGGTAGATTTTCAACATGAGCCTTTTGTTTTGTTATATTTTAAAAAATTGATTCTTCAATTTGCAAACCCAATGAAAATAAGCACAATGAGGAAGTATTAGTAAACACTAGCAAATACAGAAATTAGCATGACAGTAGATTATAGATTTAGTATAGTCCAATGAAAAAGTCATTTTTTTTTAAAGATTTATTTATACAAGAGCCAGGGTACAGGCCAGATGCGTGGGAGAGGATTCACCAGAGACAGAGAGGGGAACAGAACAGGCAGACTGAACGAAATACACTGCTGAGGGGAGCAGCGGGTGAGACAGAAAAGGTCTTCCGTGCCATGTGGGACCCTCGCTGGCTGGCTGGTATCGAACCGGTGCTGCAGAGGCTGTGAACAGCTTCACAGCACTGTGCTCAACCACCTGCGCCCCAGGGGAGGCCCAAAGTCATTGATTTTTTTAGATGAAACTTGGTATGGTAATTCTAAAGCTCTCCTGGCTTAGAAGAGGTGACAGGATAACTAAGAAACTCTTTAAGAATAATGCAAGAAAGCTTACCTTACTAAATATCAAATCACATTAGAAAGATAAATCAAAACTGGTTTTAGTGAAGAAATAGGTCAAACAGATTGAACTTTAGAAACATTTGCATCAGAATTTTAGTATATAAAAAGTTCACACTGTCAATTAGTGGGGGAAATAGACACTGCTGAATCTTCATGTACACATGAAAGGTGAAAAATAAATTCCAGATGGGATAAAGATAAATTTTGAATGGTTTACATCAAAAGAAAGAGTTTCTCACTCTTTTTTAAATGAGTGTACAATATAGATTTCCATTGTGTGGATGTTATATAATTGATGAGTATTGATCACAATGCCACAGTAACACTAACTTATATTACATAAATGCAACTATATTTGCAGGATAAGTTCTTAGCAGTAGAATTTCTGGTTCAGATGATATTGTGCATTTGTAAATAAAAACAGCCTTTTGAGGAGGAAATTTGGAGATAATTTTAAAATTTAAAAGTTGTGCCTTGGGATCCAGAACTATGTTGTTGAAGTGCTCAACAATGTTAAAAGTGAAAAAATGATGCCTGTGGCTGTGCTTTCTTTTCTATGCATATTGTAATATTTTAATAGTACAAAACTGGAACTCTACATGTCCTTACTAAGGGAAAGCATAACTTGCAACTCTAGATTGTAGTATCTCCAAGATATGTACTTAAGTGAAAAAAAAAAAAACAGTGATTGAAAAACATGCAATATATGACTTGTCTTTATAAAAACTCTCCCATCTGAAAGGATGCACATCCAATTGTTAAAAATGATTATCTCTGAGAAATGAAGAGACTGGGTGTAAGTGATTGGAGCAATGTGAAGAGGAACTTCACTTTTTTGCTATATGCATGGATTTAATTTTTTTGAAATTAAAATAAATCAAAATATTAGGAATACCTAATTGTAAGAGATGGGGCATAGGTGACCTCTCTATGAAAAGGTCAGCCTCTGAAATCCCCTGCATGGTTGCAGTCTGAGGTCCTCAGATGGGGATTGCAGAGTACAACAGATTAAAAGTTTGTCAACAGGGATGACAGTCGGTCACGGCCAGCACAAGCCAGAATGTAGACTGACTTTGTGGGTACATATGGTATTCCCATAATAAAAGTGCCTTTTCAGCTAAAAGTTAAACTAAAAAACAAAGAAAGCACGGCCACAGTCTTTGCATTTTTAAATGATAAAATGTGATAACTTTGGCAAAATATATAAAATGCATTTTATATATAAAGGAAAATGTGGAACTAAAATAAATAAATCATGTTTTATAAGTTATTTGCAATCGACTGCTTCATATGGATCTACCATATGAGCCATACTTACACCTTATAAACATGAAAAATAACTAAATCAGCAGGAGGGATTTCTTTTCCTCAGTAAAAGAACCATATGCCAGGTTAAAAGTAAAATAATCACTTCCACCAATATTGTTTCTGAACCCCTGTCCTTGCTCAGTAACAGTCCGTAGTGGAGCCATGGCTTCCATCCATCCATATAATACAGAGTTATCATTAATATGATGAGAAGCAGTAGAAAACTAAACAGAAACTGTTACCGATTCAATCATCAGAAATACCCTTAATGAAAGGTTGAATGCAGCCCATGATATGTTCCTGCTTCCTCATCT